AAAAAAAGACAACTTTAACGGAAAGTCTCCACACAGCACTCTTTAAAACTGACATCAATTAACACTAAGACATAAGCCTTATTCAGATACAACACTGTACCAATGTATAATATATGATAACCAATTCCAATGAGTCTCTTAGTGATGAAAGGAGCTTTAGCCCGGAACACGAGGCCTGTTAACATGAACGAGCAGCGTGAATGGCATGCTGGGTGTGTAAATGCGAGGGTAAAGCCAGGCAACCAAGCGGATTCCCCCTCAGGGATCTAGGTAATAATCCTCTTCTGCAGCCTTATCTGCTGCTCTCACTTAAGCAAGAGAGAGGACAAGGGGAGGCCAACGCTGTGCTGCAATGTGTGTGTTTGACAGACTGAGCCTGTGGGTGTGTTTCATCAGAAAGCGGGGATTTTTTGCCTGTAAGAATTCATGCATGTTCGCACATCTGTATGCACCTCTGCTGTAGGATCACAGAAAGATGTGTGTGCATGTGCATGTGAGAATTTCATTCGGAAAGAGTCATAGTTTATCTTATGACATTTACGTACATGCATCTTTAAGAAGAATTTGCATGCAACAGGTATGTGTGTGTGGAACTGGATGCATGAATACCAAGGCAGATACGATGTGCACACATGCTTGACATTATTACCATGAATGACGCAGAAAATAAGAGTAACAGTAAAAGACATCAAAGGAAATTCAGGTTTGAAACTGGCATATCACTGCGCCTCACACAAGAACATTTTCATACTCTTATCTTAAACCTCTCTGTTTTTTTTATTGGGTTTGCTTGTACAAAGTTCTATTCAGCAAAGCCTCTTAGCTGCACAACTTGTCTTTGACTTGTCATAATTTACTTGTTTCAACTTTATGAATACCGCCTGTTCATGAGTGCATCTATCAGAATTATAATTAGCATGATTGATCATGGCATTCTTTCAGATCGACTGGGTGTATATGGTACTGCCCTAAACTTTGCTTCATACAAACAGGCCTCTGTTGTGGCTCTGGTGTGCCTCAAGGGTCAATCCTTGGTCCAATTTTGTTCTCATTGTGTTTTTATCACCTCAGAGACATTGCTTAAATAAGATCTATTCTAACTCCTAGAGATACAGACACTGTTGTTCATGCTTTTATCTCTTAGTATCTTGATTATTGCAACAGCTTTTATTCCTGTCTTAATCAAAGAAGCCCTGCAACGACTTCAGATTGCTCAGATCTCAGCCGGTAGGCTTTTAACCAGAACCAAGAAGTATGATCACATCAGGTTTTAGCCTCTTTTCCTTGTTTTAGGATTGACTTTAAATCTTATTGATGACTTTTAAGGTTCATCATGGCTCCAGATTACATTTCAGACCTTTTAGTCCCTTTGAACCTTTGCGTTTTTTGAGATTGGGAAGAGTTTTGCCTTTTTTCTCGAGAGTCCAGACTGAAAACTAATGCCAGGCTCAACCAACATGATGTTTTTGTCTGTCTGTTCCGTCACTATTACGCGATTTTAGAGTCACAAAATCTTGCTGTGACTTGGCCGACAGACGTGACACACGTTGGTCAACTCCAGCTGTTTTACACGATGTGTGTGATGTCATCAGATTATTTTTGTCCTATTTTTAGTACTATTGCTATTATTTCAGTCACTGTGTCTGTTCATGTGAAATGTTGTAGTAGTCACGTAAAAAGCGTCACCAGATGGGCGGAGCTACATTTGAAATACTGCATAAAAACAATACAAGTCACTGAATCCTCCACAGGAAGTTCCTGCAAATGTTTCACAATAAAATCTATTTTTAGAAAATTAAGGGATTCTGTCAAGTGAAATTATAAGGGGCTTTTCATTTTAAACAGATAAAGGAAGTGTTGAGTTTGAAATGACGGCACGATGCATTAACTGAAGCAAACGGGAGTGGGTTAAAAGTAAAAAAAATAAAAGTACAGAGGAAATGAGAAATAAAGGCCTTTTGAAAATATGGTGTGTTTGAGATGCAGCTGGTAGCCTCTGCAGCTGTGCTGAGTAAAGGCCCAGACACTATCTGTGAGTTTGATTCCTTTATATCCTCCATTATGAAGAAAGAACATTCTTTGCTAGCTTGATGCTAATGGCAGTACTCAGCAGGTTGATAAAGTGCCTCTGCTGTTTCCTTTTTACTCTGTGTGCTAACGTCCCTACAGAAAATATCTAAAAGGCTGGGCTGTTGTTGTCCTACAGTTTCCACGGCAGCAGATCGCTCTGTGTTCCTACTGGTCAAAGTGACGGCTGTAATGGGAGAAGTCGTGAACGACAAAAAGAAAATCAAACATGCTAGACTTTCAGTCGGGATGTCGTGAGGCCTCCTAGATGCTGCGTCGGTTGTCGTCTACTATGACACACTACAGGAGATGAAACAATGCATTACCATGTACGTATAACACTCATTGTCGTTCATGGTCCAAGCAGACACTGTATGACGCTGAGTCAGGCTATAGCTGGGCTGATATCGTGCAGTCTGAACCTGACCTAGAAGGGACAGAGCTTTAAAATCAGGGCCCTGAGGCTCTGGAACAACCTGCCTGTGGATATAAGGCTGTCTGAGTCACTGGCTTCATTTAAGACTCTCCTAAATATATGCTCCTATTGGAAAGCTTATCCTGCGTGTATTTGAGCTGTCAGTCTGTTTTATTGCTCTCTTATTGACGTTATTTCCCATTTATTATCTTGATTTTATCTTTTACTTTGGTGACATTTTGTTTGTTTCATTCTCCTTGTGTTTCAGATGTATTTAGTTTTATTGTACAGCACTTTGTTACTTTGGAAAAGTTCTATATAAATAAAGTTAATATTATAATTATTATTATTGTATTAAATAGACAGTACTACATTTTCTTACAAGGTGACCTGTTGTACTTCATCTGTTGGCAGGTTTTATTCACAAAAATGTCACTGAAGAGTAAAAAAGAAGAAATAAACAGTGCAGAGCTTGAAGCTCAGCTTTTAGACCCGTGGATGAAAACATCAAATTTAGCAGTGTCAGTAGTGACATTAGGGGACATGAAAAAATGTGAAAATATGACTACAGCTGTCAGCGCTGTGACATTACAGGGCTGAACTGTGACAGAGATGAAGAGGGAATAAAGCGGTCCGTGGCTAAAACGGGAGGCAGTCATGAGAATGTGACAGTCATTTTGCTTCAGTGCTACGAGAAAAATCCACACACGAGGAAACTGATGAATGTGACACTTTTATCCCTCTTATATGCCACTTAAGAAGAAATATGTTTGTGCGAGTGGTTCTTGTGTTGGGCCCTTTGTGTTGCAGGTTTGCAGTTTCCTGATAAACGTTTTGTTTGAGGGGTGCTTGTGTGGGAAATACTGGCCCCATGGTCTCAGCTGTGGAGAGGATGTGCTGCAGGGAGGGTGGTGCCTTTTGGGCGCTGGTGGAGAATCTCACCCCCAGACCACACATTACATGCCTGACACTGCACCCAGGAGCGTGCTGTCTGAATCCTGTTGTGCTACAGATAGCATATGTGAACTTTGTGCAGGAGTGCAGGCCTCTTCAGGGCAGCAGACAGGAGAATGTTTAGCACAGAGCAGCAGTAGTACAGCTGCACTCAATGTGATGTGGCTCAAAAGTCTGTTTCCACCAAACCCTTTCAGTCCAGCACCTTTGGAACCAGCAGTGACCCTTCAGACATGGTACCTAGACCCTCGGTGTGTTCAGACAGTCCTCTTAAATGTGGGCGGGGTTGTTGTCACTCACTGCTCCGTCCAGCACTCGCTGTATTTCCTCATCAGCGGTGACACAGATGGAAGTCTGCACCTGGTTTATCGTCCACAGAACGAGGCTGCACGCCCACATTTTCACAACAAAATAGAACAGGCTGCAGTGAGAGTCTCTCTCCATGGGATATTTAAAAATAGCAGCTTTTGCGGAGTGTCGGTGGCTTAGTGGATAGAGCAGGCGCCCCATGTACAAGGCTGTTGCGAAAGTGGCCCGGGTTTGACTCCAGCCTGTGGCCCTTTGCTGCATGTCATTCCCGCTCTCTCGCCCCTTCACTCTGAGCTCTCCTATCAATTAAAGGCAAAAATGCCCCAAAGATTTTTTTACACTACATGTCACCCTCACCCATTCACACACTGGTGGCTGAGGCTAACAGGCAGAGTGCAACCTGCTTCTTTTGTCGTCGGGACGCCGTGTCAACTTCAGCCTGTTACATGCATTGTCTGTTTTCAAAATACACTTCTGTTTTCACAGGAAATGTACAGTTTGCATACAGTCTCTTTCAAAATAAAAGCACTACGTCGGTACAACACCGCAAAGAGACATTTTTTTCCTCCAACAACAAAAGCACGTGGTTGGGTTTAGGAAAAAAGAACGGGGTTTGGCTTTACAACCTTACAGGAAGTGAACACCAGCCTCCCAGGTGAAAGTCGGTGGCTGTTGGACCCATCCACCACCTCTTCGCCCGCTCAACTTCCACTACCTTTACTCTTGTTGTCCCGCCTTGTTTCCCCCTGATGCCACCAGGTGCAGGTAAACAATATCATGCCAATATGAAAGGGTGTCTTTTTTTGGTCTCTAGTTTAATCTGTGGTGGTTTCAATGTCATTGGTGTATTTTACTGTATCTGGCTGCTATGATGTTTCAGTTTGCCACAAGGTGATCACAAGCAGCAGCTGTCAATCTATACAATGGGACATTCCCACTTTAGACAGGAAGTTAAGACAATATAATGCAGTTGGAGCAGGTTTCTGCTGCTGAAATACAGAGTCAATACAGACACAGACAACCAGACGACCCTTCACACCTGCAGCAAATTTAGAGAAGCTCTCTGGACTGTGGGAGGAAACCTGCCTGACATCCCACTCAGTTATTTTAAAGGTGAATTGGTGGTTGCATCTGTGACTATATCCATTCACACAAAAGCTTCTGTAAAACTGCACTGTGCATCTACGGACACAGAGCATTAAAATGCAGGTTCAGGTTTGCAGTAATTCAAACTACACAGGAGCGCCAAACTTACCCAGGAAGCGGAAGGTCCTGCGCACCAGCGGGTTGAGGTAACAGCAGTCCCCGGTGGCCACGGTCTTCTCTGACCGGTCGAACTCTTTGGACGTGTACTGGACCAGGAACAGCACAGTCTCTGTTAATGTGATCTGGGAATGAAAGCGAGAGACAGAGAATTCAGATGAGCTGAGTAACAGTATATCTGAGTCGTTGTCATTGGCAGTGCCATTTCCTCACACTCTGTCACACAGCCCAGAGCTTGTGTGACTGTTTTCTCAGTGGGCTCCATCTGTACAGACACAGCTGTGGAATACACAGGAACATATGGGAGAGAGGAGGTAAGCTCACGGTGCTGTGAGTGAAGGAGCAGAGGTGTGTGTGTGTACGCAGGCTGACATATTTTTTAATGAAAAATGGGATCTGGTTCCATCCATCCCTCATTCACTGAGGTAGACTGATTAAGAGTAGATAAACTCAGCACTTGTTGCAAGTGGCGACTTTTTGTTGTTGTGCCTCTGCACCTGCAATAGCCATGTTTTTGGGTTGTCCGTCCATCTGTATATACGTGTGCATTTCTTCTAAATGCCTTGAGGGAATTTCTCTACTTTGGCACAAATGTTCATTTGGATTCAATGATGAATTGGCTAGATTTCGATGGCCAAAAGTCAAAGGTCAACATCACTGTGACCTTGCATGCATCTCATTCTCGTTAACATAATGTCTCAAGAACACCTTGAGGGAATTTATTTCAAATTTGGCACAAGCGTTCACTTGAACTGAATGATAAATTCATGTGAATTTGGTCAAAGGTCAACGTCACTGTGACCTTGCATCTACCTCATTCTTGTGAAAGTGATATCTCAAGAACGCCTTGATGGAATATCTCTACTTTGGCACAGACGTTCATTTGGACTCAACGATGAATTGGCTAGATTTCGGTGGCCAAAAGTCAAAGGTCAATATCACTGTGACTTTGCATCCATCTCATTCTCGTGAACGCAATGTTTCAAGAACGCCTTGAGGAAATTTATTTCAAATTTGGCACAAGCGTTCACTTGAACTCAATGATAAATTGATGTGAATTTGGTGGTCAAAGGTCAAAGGTCAACGTCACTGTGACCTTGCATCTACCTCATTGCTGTGAAAGTGATATCTCAAGAACGCCTTGAGGGAATTTATTTCACATTTGGCACAAGCGTTCACTTGAACTGTATGATAAATTGATGTGAATGTGGAGGTCAAAGGTGAAAGGCCAACGTCACTGTGACCTTGCATCTACCTCATTCTTGTGAAAGTGGTATCTCAAGAACGCCTTGGGGGAATATCTCTACTTTGGCACAAACGTTCATTTGGACTCAACAATGAATTGACAGGATTTCGGTGGCCCAAAGTCAAAGGTCAACATCACTGTGACTTTGTATCCATCTCATTCTCGTGAACGCAATGTCTCACGAACGCCTCGAGGGAATTTATTTCAAATTTGGCACAAGCGTTCTCTTGAACTGAATGATAAATTGACGTGAATCTGGTGGTCAAAGGTCAACGTCGCTGTGACCTTGCATCTACCTCAGTCTTGTGAAAGTGATATCTCAAGAACGCCTTGAGGTTATTCCTTCAAATTTAGCAATAACATTCACAAATTCTGACTGACATTGTTTGACAGTGCCAAAAACATTACAAGTCACAATAAGAAAACAAAAAGTACGACTGTTTGCAGATCTACCACTGCTATGGTTAAAGGATAAATCTGTTGTTACTCTAATGTTTTACGACTGTCAACACGTGCAGACCCAAAGCAACAATGTGTTGGGCTGTCTCTCAGTACTCTGACTGCACCGTCCTGTCTGTGTCCAAGTCCATTAGTTTCTACTGATGATGTAAAATCACCTCACAAATATGAGGTAGTTCAGTAATTTCATAAAACAGCTGTGGTTTTTGGCAAATGTTACTGAATCAGTAGGAATCTGTTGGGGACTTTTTTTTAGCGGCGGTCTAATCCTCATGTGGCGCTTTTTCTGGCAGGCTGACGGTGTATGTGGGACTGGGTCAGAAAAAAATACACGCAGTCCAACAGTGTTCGTCTCTGATGTGTTTTTAATAGTGTTTGAATAACAATAGAGCTCCATGGCACAGAGGAAGAAGATCAGGCTTTGATCATGGGTTTTTGATTCTGGGGTTCCTACTTCCTCGTTTTCCTGTGCTGCCCCCTAAGGTTAGGGAAAGTGGTCAGGGTGGACAGCAACAGTGGTCTCCTGCCTTGTCTACGCATCTATCCGTCACCCAACAATAATAAAGTCACAATACTTTCACTTACATGACTGATAGGTCACGCCAGTCATAATTCACACAGCCAATGGAGAACCTCATCAGGTAACTGTGTCGTGTTTAAGCATTTCAACAAATGACTGATGCTGTCCTTTTTCTTGTGAGGACAGTCTCACATGTCAGTCCACCCTCTTTGATTGTTTCTCAAACTCTTCTCACTCAGTAAAAACTAAGCTCACAAAGGGGCCTTGGATGGGGCCTTGGAGGGCGCCTCGAGGTGTGGCGCCCAATAGAGGGCTTCCCAGGGCCTGAGTTTTAAGACAGGAGAACGGGAAAGGCAGCGTAAGGCCAGCGGCCTCTGGACTTTCCCGCCCTCTCTGCCACACATACCCCTTTTCCACCAAAGCAGTTCCAGTGCTGGTGCTAGTTCTCAGTTGGTTCAACTTGCAAACCAGCTGAGAACCAATTTGCTTTTTGGTTAGGGTGCCACGTCATTGTGTCACTGTATACGTCAGTTACGTCGTTGCTTTCCCACTGGCGCCAGGCTCGAAGGAACAACAACAACAATGGCGGACCATGTATTTGTGCAGCTGTTACTCCTGGCTCTACGAGGCTTCATCTGTATCCAAACACGGCAGATACATCATATTTGTGGTGCTTGACAAGATTTGTATGGACAGCGATTACGTTCTAGAAGGCAAGTTTATTGTTGTTGGTCTCAATAACCCCGCCCCCTTCCCGGTGATGTATGTGGTTCGTTCTTCTAGTCCAGCAAAGAACTGGCGCCACTCTGGAACCGTTTTTCTAGCCCAGAGCCATTTCTTTTGTCTGTCGAAACAGGAAAACCAGTTCCAAATTTAGCACTGGCCCCGAACCAGCACTGGAACTGCTTTGGTGGAAAAGGGGTATACAACAGAGGTTCTGGCACCCCAGTTTTTCAAAAAACAGGCCTCCAGGGAAGTCCACGAGGGACTCGACTTCCCCCCTCCACCGGGGTGAAACACAAACACAGTGTTTCTCAAACCCTACCGTGTTGAGGCCCACGGACCTGATGCACAGTCGCCTCACCCCACCTCCCCCACAGCGGGGCCCCAGCACACCCAACAACAGTGCGAGAGGGCTACCTAAGATTAAGTCTAACTGCACACAGCTGGTACAGTGAACCTGAAACATCTGAAATTGAACACTTCAGTCCTGAAGAATTAGAGCTCTTAGACCTTCATCTGGTCTGTATTTGTGTGTATCTGTTTTACCAAAAACAGTGCAGTATCAATTTGTGACAGCTGCTGCACATTGCTGCCAACTGCTCCACAGCTTGCCAGCCACATTACACCAGCTACTGTCCCTCATCACACTGCAGCCCCCAGTGACCTCAGACATAATGGCAGCACCAGTACATTCACCGCACGCAAGTGGCCTTCAAATCAACATTTTTCAGTATTATCAGAGCCTCAGTCCTAACAGCAGTCTCCTCCCCAGACCAGCCACCAGCCCTCACATATCCTTGCCTCATCAAAGTGTCTGCCTGGATTATTAACATCCAGCAGCCCTGGCAGGACTGATCACATCTTTGTGCATGTCACATGACTGAAAAGTGGGCGATACACAACGATGTAGCAGTGAAGTCACAAAAGGAAACAACTGTAGTCTTTCAAGTCTAAAAGTACATTTCAAATTTTAAAGCCGAGGCATTTTGTACAATGTTAAAATACATTACAAGTTAAAAAATAAAAGAGTGGGTCTTTGAAACATATCTGTGCGGTCAGGCTGTTCTCAGTAACTGTTTATACATTTTCCTATAAAAAGGTGAGACCCAAAGTCGTACATATCCCACATATTTTGGAAAAAAGAAATACAAAATAATGGTGGTCACATAGGTGATCATGGCGATAATGAAAATAACAGTAATAGTATTAAAAACATACATAAAAAATAACCGTACAGTCTTACAGACAGCTCAATGCTTGTGGCCCAACTGGACACGAGGCAGGATGAGAAAGAATATATTAGTAATTTATAAAGGAGCTGTTAGCGGTTGTAATCACATTCACTACTTTCATCCCCTTTAAAAACCGACTACTCCTCATCAGGACGCACTGACAGTTTGAGAATCGTGTGGAGAGATTTCCTCTGAGGACACTTCTCAGTGTCTGAGACATGCAGAGTTACACATACTGTAAAACTTCAACTAAAAGCTGCGTCCCTTTTACTAGCCCGGTATGGCTGCACATTTTGACAAATAAAGGCCTGGTCTGGTTGCCTAGCAGTTTTTTTTTAACAGAAATTCATTGAATGTTGTTGACGACCTCAAATTATACGTCCAGTCTCTAGATTACCCTGCACATTTAGTCCGTAAGGGTCCTCAGATCAAAAGATTCAAAAGGATTTTTCATAAAAATGAATCCAAGCTGTCCATATTGTTTTAACAGGATTAAGTGTTGTGTCGGCATGCCGGGTGCTGTAAACAGAGTGTCATAATGATTTCTCTCTTTGATGCCTTGTCTGTAGAAGCGAGATTAAATTAATAACTTGTAACTGACATGTTATTCAAAGCCCAATTTTTAAACAAGTAATATTCATACTGCGTTAAATAAACAATTTGATTGTATTTCCTGATCTTTGCTGAGCAACAGTTTTGTGTGAAAGAAATTTAAGTCCTGTCCCAAATATAGGACTGTTGAGTTCAGTGATTTAAGCAAATAATATCACGGGCTACTAATTGAAGACTTACAGGTGTGTATACTCAACCCGTTCAAAGTCCCAGGTCAATGTTAAGGTTAATTAATTAATAGTCCTTTTTAAATAGGAGTTGTGCAAATTTGCAGGAAAGCCCAATCAGTGTTTTTTCTGCATTGGCAGTATAAAAACAAAATCTGGGAGTGCA